GAACAAATGGCTGTGGTTCTGAGATTTGTGAACGATCGGGGAGAAGTGATCGAGCGATTTATGGGAGTCCTGCACGTTAGTGACACTTCGGCACACTCTTTGAAAAGTGCAATTGATGAATTCTTTGCCAAACATGGATTATCACTTTCTAGACTTCGAGGTCAAGGTTATGAAGGGGCTTCCAACATGCGTGGTGAGTTTAATGGTCTTAAAGCTCTCATTTTAAAAGAAAATAAACAAGCATACTATGTTCATTGTTTTGCTCACCAACTTCAATTAGTGGTTGTAGCAACTTCAATTGAGAATAGGGATCTGGGGAATTTTTTTGATTATCTTGTTAGAATTGTGAATCTTGTTGGAGCTTCGTGTAAAAGGATGGATGCTATTTGGGAAAAGCATTATAATGATGTTGCACGACGTATAGAAAGTGGTGAGATTTCTACAGGGACAGGCAAGAATCAAGAAATGAGTTTAGCTCGACCGGGTGCTACACGGTGGGGATCTCACTATAGGACAATCTGTAACACCCCGCCTTGTCATGAAAATCAGAGTGCGTCTATACAAACCTTTTAAATAAAATACTGATTGGTTTGCAAAATACTGTTTCGGAGAGCTACCATAATACATGCCTTACTTTCAAATCAGACCGTTTTTAAGAAAAACAGACTTACAGTCTACTAACAGTCAAAAGGGCTAAGTTTGACAAATAGTGAAAAGTCAGCGGAAACTGTAGTGGCAAAACATAATAACAATGCTGCGATCATATAAATTAGTCTACGGGAGATAAAAACAGCACTACTATGCCAAATTTAAACTGTACAAAACGTAATTTAAGCTTTATAAGCATAACTCCCGTATAATTTAAACTTTATAAGCATAATCCTGAACCAGTCGTTATCTCACACCTCCGGCCTGACTTCATGACCTGAAAAACATGATAAAAGTGGGGCGTGAGCACTAAAGTCCACTGTGCTCCGTGGAAACCCATACTGAAGTAAACAGTGAAAATAATTACAATCACATGATCCTGGCATATATAACTGACTGAACTGAACTGAAACCGGTACTGAATAATCATGATCTGATACTGATGGTGAGATAATCATCACCTGCCTGATACCTGAACATCTGCCAGCATAAATGCCGGACACCA